AAAAAAAAAAAAAAAAAAAAAAAAAAAAAAAAAAAAAAAAAACCGAGCTCACACCTCAAACCTGCTCTTGGTCACTCCGCACGCCGCAAGAACCGAGCTAGCGACTGGCAGTCGTCGCGGCCGCGGACGCCGCGGGCGGTGGTGGAGGCCCTGCGGGACTCGAGCGGTCTGTCCTCCGCGTCCGACGGGCGGGCCTCGCGTTACCGCCGCCGCCGCCTCCCGCTCCCGGAACTCCCGGGCCTGCCCTGGCCCCTGTCTTTGCACTCCGCACGCCGCAGAGCCCTGCCCGGGCCGCACCCGCTGGCCCCATGAGGAGGGACGTGAACGGAGTGACCAAGAGCAGGTTTGAGGTGTGAGCTCGGAGGGGTCTCGGGCGGCGAGGAAGGCCAGCTCTCGCACCCCAAACAGTCGCCCTACCGGAGTCGCCTTCCTTGTGCGGCCCGCCAGCCGCCCCCGGTGGGGCAGTCCGCGTCCTCCCCTGCTCCCGACCCGAAAGCTCGGCACACCGGCTTGCCTCGCCTTGCGGGAGGCTTGCCCGCTGCCCCTTCCACCCGCCGGCCCTGGACGGGATTAGCCCTGGCGCCCTAAATCCCCCCTCCCCCCATAACACTCAGCTTCCCATTCTTTGCCCAGCCCTTGGCTAGCCTCCTTCCACCACGCAGTGAAAGCACCCGTCCCCGACTGGTCAGCGCCTGCTGCCTTCGTGAAGCGTTTGCCACCACCCGTGCGGGAATCGATGAGTCCTCGGTGGGAGTAGGAAGTGGGGGTGGGAAACTGGGATGCTAGAGGCGACTGTTGGGTTTTTGGTGCTCTTTGGATATTGTTCTGGTACTTCCTCTTCCCCGTTTAGTCTGTACTTTTGTGGATCATTGTTACTGGTAACATAGTTATCGGTTCAGAGACTGAGGAAGGTCCAAGAGCCTTCGGGAATTCATTTCTGTTTTTGTCTTAGGTTTGTCCTCTGCAGTGGGAGGTTTATAGTCTTGGAATTGAACAGTAGATCGTCAGCAAGCTCTTTAAAGAGGATTCACGGACTGAGCAAGGGATCCCTTTGGGAAGTAGTGTAACTACTGATGAATTACAGTAGTACAATAATGTGCAAGAGGCTTCCTTGGTAGGCTGCGAGACAAAGAAACTTACACAACAAGAGTAAATGTTACCTGGCCTTTTCTGGCAGAGACTCAGGCCGACCTGGGGTCACTCCAGTCCCAGCGTACTTCTCACTGGTGTTTCTCTCTCCTCCCCTCTCGCGTTGTATTTTTAACACGCAGTGTTTTCCTTCAGCTCTCTTATGAAAGATGAAAATGAGGCAGAAGTTTATGGGCTTGGGATAAAAGTCTTACCTAGGAATGGAACCTCTATTTAGTGTTTGTAGTTTTTAAGAGTATGAGAAAAAAAACCATAAAGATATAGCTAAAGATTAAGATAGGGTACCTGTGCAGGAAATTTAAATTCGGAGTTACAGTATTCAGTTGCAGTGAGGAAGTGGAGAAAATCAAAGTCCTTGGTTACATTAGAGTTTTATGTGTAACTTAACCACGGGGATGGAATGGGGGGGAACATGATAAAAATTACCTATGTAGGACGTTGTATTGCTCAAAAGTGCAGCATCCAATAAGATTAATTTATGACAATTTCAAACTCAGTACTATTGTAAAACTTTTGAAATTACTAACTAGACATTTGGCAGTGTAGGGGTACTCAGAGTCCAAAATGCTGAAAATTGAGTGGGGTGTAACCATCTGAATTGCAGTGAGTTATTTACCAATTTGCTATTCCCTTTTAGGTTGTGGAATTATTGGGAAAGACTCACTGTCATTTATGCTTTAAAACTGCATTGTTTCTTTCAAATAGTTACTTGTTTTATTTTTTTCTTGAGACAGGGTCTCCTGTAGTCAGTGACCTTGAGGTGTTCCTCCACTCACCCAAGTGCTGGAATCACAGATGTGAACCACCATGCCCAGCTTCATGAAATTTTAAGTCTTCAAAATTGCCAGCCTGTGGTTTGCACACCTTTAATTCCAGCACTCAAGAGGCAGAGACAGGCTGATCTCTGCATATTCAAGGCCAGTCTGGTGTACATAGAGAGTTCTAGGACACCCAGGGACACAGAGAACTCATGTCTCAAAATAAAAACCAAACAAAAATCCTCAGAACTAAGAGATTCTTTTATAAGGGACTGATTATTTCTAAGTAGGTAAGCTCAGAATGAGAATTTTTGTAAGTTGAGGAAATCTATACAGAAAATAATAGCTAATTTCAAATTGTGGTCATGACTAATACAAATGAAAGCTTCTTGCCCCACCCTGAGATAAAGAGGCTTCTTTTTGCATATTGGATTCATTGTAACCTTTTTATGGGGAATGTTCTAATGTTCTCTCTCTTACTCTCTCTCTCTCTCTCTCTCTCTCTGTCCCCCCTCGTGTGTGTGTGTGTGTGTGTGTGTGTGTGTCTGTGTCTTTGTGGTGCTGGGGAGCCAGCTTAAGACCCTACAAGAGCTACATTCCCCAGCCTTTTTTTTTTTTTCTGAGACGAATTCTCAGTATGTAGCCAGCATTGGCCTGGAACTCTCAGTCATCCTCTTACACTGTCTCTTGCTTTCTGGGGTTCCCGGCAGGTGCCACAGTGTTCAGTTTAGGACTGTTTTCTTTTCTATACTTTTGAATCTTGTAACCAGAGGTCACATGCTTTATGTCTTACTCGCAGAGTCAGGTACACAAAAAAAGTTTCTACATTAAACTGAGAGTAGTGGCTGGAAATTGTAACCCTAGCACTTGGAGACTGAGACAGGATTTGCCCCTGAGTTCCAGTCCGTCTGGTTTATATTACTGAGTTCCAAGCCAGCCAAAGCTGTAGAGTGAGACCCTGTTCAAACCTCGTGCCCTCCAACACTGTCCCCAAGGGGAAAAAAATAAAGTTAAAACTAAGAGATCACTGGTTATATAAGTCAAATATGCAGCATCTGTGTAAAGCCAAAGTAGGTGAGTTCAGGATAGAGAAAGAAAGCAATCCAGAGCTGTAAAGCTTCCTGCTCCATGCGCTGTTACTTTGTCTTTTTTTTAATTAAAAAAGTTTAAAGATATATTTTATTTTATGTGTCTGATTGTTTCGCCTGCATGCATTTGTGTGTACTTCACTCTTGCCTGGTGTCCACAGTGGTCAGAAAGGGGCATCAGATCCTGTGGAACTGTAGTTACAGATGCTTGTGAAGCACCCTTTTGGTACTAGAAACTGAATCCAGGTTCTTTGCAAGACCTGCAAGTGCTCTTAACTATCAAGCCATTTCTCTAGTCCCACACTGTTTGTGAGTCAGAGTTTCACACGATAGGCCAGGATGGCCAGAAACTCACAGTGTAACCCAGGCTAGCATGAAACTTCCAACAGTCCTCAGGCTCCACCCCACATGCTATCTGAATTTTGATTTTTCTGATTCTATCTTACATTCAAGAAAAATTAGGACCCAAGAGGTTAAGGTATTAAGATCGTAGTTTAACAGTAGAGGACCAAGAAGTGGACGGTGGTGACACATGCCTTTAATCCCAGCACTCAGGAGGCAGAGGCAGGCGGATCTCTGTGAGTTCGAGGCCAGCCTGGTGTACAGAGCGAGTTCCAGGACAGGCTCCAAAGCTACAGAGAAACCCTGGCTTGAAAAAAGGAAACAGTAGAGGACCAAGATTCTAATCTCTGGAGGGGGTTTGTTTTTGTTTTTAGAGATTAAATTTGTGAATGTATATGTATGTGCATGTACATGGAGTGCAGGTACTGTGGGAGTCAGAAAAAGGATCCTGAATCTAGAGTTCCAGTCGATAATGAACTCCCTGGTGTGGGTGTTGGCAACCAAACTTGTGTGCCCCCAGGAACAGTTAAATGATCTTAACCACTGAGCCATCTCTACAGCTCACCAATCTCTATTTTTCTACACTTAATCTTTTCATATCGTTCTGTTTTTAGTGTAACTCACCATAAAGCCCATTAAATGTGTGCTTTTCCTAAAATCCACCGAATATATTTTATTTTGTATGTGCTGTCAAATTAATGAGTGTGTCTTTTATTTGAATTGTGTTAAACAGCATTACCTTAACACTCAGAAAGATTGCCAAGAGACATATTTAAATATCTAGTCTTGCCCTTAGCTTCAAATTGAGATTTTTTTTTTTCAGTTCAGTTTCGACTTTGCCATGTTTTTAATAGATCTGTAGTAAAGA